GAGACGGATCCTTCGGATGAGACCGTATAAACCGGGGCCCCGTGTTGCAGTAGGTGCTGGCACGAAAAAGATCCCTCACTGCTCAATGGCCCCGAGTGCCGAGCATAGGTTAAAATTTGCAGCTCTCCGGTGGCGTCTTCATATGAGTGAAAAATTCTCGCAAACTAAACAATGTCTTAATGTTGAAGAAAACACTTTTGATGTATAAATAAAGAAAAAAAGTGCACTGTATTCCCCAAAACAGTAGGCCTATCTTCATTTAAAACATGTGAAATTACGGTATATTAAGATAATCATATATTAACAAAGATAAATTTCTGAATGTTTTGTGAAACAATAAACTTAAGTATTTATTTCAGTCTCTCTTACATCAGTGAGGACTGATTCAATGTTGTCTCGGTTGTATTCTAAATACGTTCGTTTGAATGTGTTTATAAATGAGCATTTAAGCATAGAAAAAAAGACCTTGTTTGCCAATACACTCTATCGTTGGGTCGAATGTTGACTTGCGTCTTTCATACAAAGTGATGAAGCATTATTTTCACACTGAACTGTTAAGGGATTTTTCTCTTCTTACTAAAGACACACGGCGCGTGTAACCGGTCGAAGGGGATGCTTTATAAACAATGTTGTCTCTGAACATTTCTTTTATCGTGAAATTAAAAAAAAATGAATCTGACTCTATTTTTTTCCACTTGATAATATTAATATATTTGAGTTTATCTTTTAGACAAGGATTTTCAATTATTTTGAAGAGCTACGGAAATTTTACTTAACACCATGCAATATATATTTCAAAATAACTCTGATCAAAAATAACTTTTAATGTTCATACTGCTGTCGAATACAATGGCAATAAAATTAAAATCTGAAAAGGAAATCCAGGATTTCTCTACGGCGAAACTAAAAGCGAAATATATTTTTTTTTATTTACATAATTCTGTTACTGGAAATAGAAATTTTGCACCATGTTTATAAATGAAAAGTATTTAATATGTTTACCAGTTTTAATCTTAGTTCAGAAGAAATGGAAATTAGAAATAGATGGTTAAGCAGAGCCCGAGAAGAATCTAACAAAAGTAAGTTTTTTTCCCCAGTTATGTCAAGATTTGTTTTTGATGTATATATACATGTATGTTTGAAAACTTTATTCTGTTTAGACTGAAGAAAAAAAATACTGACACTGACGATATTCTTATACTGTATTTATTTATTATTGCTCGTATTAATTTCATGCATTATACATGTATCTTGCTTGATTATATGAAAAGGAATTCACTCGAAATGATCTTGAAAAATGAACACATTTTTTGACATGTGAATAAGGATATTTAAATATATGTATTTTGTAGACAGTAGGAGTCTATTTAAACATGGCTGTGCATATGGTACCTACGTCACCACCGTCTTCCTGCTTGATACCTCGGCTAGCATGGCGGGCGAAGGTCTGGAACAAATGAAAACTGCATTCAAGGATATCATCAACGGTAGATAATATTTCAATACAAACAAAGAGTTCTGGTAATACATTATTTCCTTGTAATTTTTTAAACTGCTCCTTTTTTGTTTGGGATTGTATTTTTAAGAAGTAAATTGTATTTCTTTATAGAGTTTTCTAAGCATCCACACATAACAGAAAATGTGTCAGTTATAACTTTTGGAGATGACGTAAAAGTTCTTCAGTACTATTCCAATGATTACAGATCAATATCCAAATGTGTAGGTAAGAACCTATCTATAATTTTTCTTAAGATATTAAAGGATAAGTTTCATTCACATTTTCTCGCAATAAAAAAAATCAAAATTCTTTTCTTCTATAGATAACATAGAATGTGGAGGCGATAGCCAATTAGAAGCAGGACTTGTCATGTGTATGTCAGGCATAATGTCAGGTAAAACTAGTGAATTAAAATATTCTTTTGGTCTCCAGTACTTCATCCAAAGTGTACATTCCAAAACGTAAATGTCAAATGACGCAATTTTACAGTTCCTTATTCCAACATTGGATCATTTCACGTGAGAACAAGAATAGTCGTTATCACTGATGGTAAACCGACAGAGCTTTGTAATGGAAACAACCAAGAGATTTACCAATCACGTGGTTATGATGACGTGAGTTTACCTTCATTTTAAAATAAAATGACTTTTTGATAACTAATCACAGGTGATACTGTAAGTAGCAAGGTTTTATGTATCAAATTGCCCTGTCTATACTTCAACCAAAATACTGTCGCTCTATGTCAAGTTTCAATTTCAGCTTTCATTACCTATAAGAAAATTTCTTGAAACCTTTAATGCTGTGGTATGAATTTCTGACCCTGACCATTGGAACTCAAAGTTAAGATTTTTTTCAAGTCAAGGAGAGTTATGATATTAAATTTCATTTCAAAAAAGCTTTAAGACTTTCAGACATATTCAGAAAAAAAAGTTCACAGAAAGAATAAAGGACAGCTAGACAGATCAACAAACAGTCGGGCGACAGACTGAAATAAATATCCCTGCTTTTAGCGAAAGAGAGGGACAAAAATATCAGCACAGCTTTCGATCCACAAAATAAAGCATGTATCATTTACTTTAAAAACGGCTTTAACAACACAACATATTTCTTGCATCGAAGGTTGTACTCTATTTTAAAATACTAAAAAGGAACCTTAAAATTTTGTGCAAGAACTTTTAATGAAATTGTATTAATGACGCATTTCATGACGTCATAATACGCAGACCAGCGTAAAATTACGTCATCTTTATTGGTTATGTAGTCTATTACATATTTTTAAAACTTTTTTCCTCAGTATTTAACGGCAAAATAAGATCCTTAGAGAACTTTGTTCCTTGTGATATATTTATAAAATTTCAGACCACAAAAATGTGCTTTTGATGGTTTTGCTTTTGAAAAAAGAAAACAAAATGTATTTAAGTTTAAAAATGATAAATCATTAGAAAATGGATTGTATAATTCTATTAAAGGTTAGCGATTCAGTCATTAATATGGCGAGACAACTGGGAAGAGGTAACCCCATCTTTTGTATTCCTGTTGGAACAGATCCTGACATTGTGAGTATTTAACACAATTTCCCATGCATGAATTTTTTCGTTTAATTTGGTGATAACAATTATATTGTTTTTATTTACAATTTTGTTTATTTTAGTTACTTTGTTTCAGTAGCAGTCATATATAACCAAATGTTGATTTTATTCTGAAATTTATAATGTATATTCTATATGTATGTCACAGATGTTGTGTTTTAATTTGTACATAAAATTGGCGCGCATTGCCAATCGAATGCGTTCGCTGCGTTTGTTTGTGTTGTGTGTCTAGTGTGAATGTTTTGGGAGATCACGTGACATTGTTTATTTTTGTATTTCCACGTGTTTCCAGTAAGGTGACCTAATGTGACCTTACAGCTGACCAACAACCGACAGTTTTTATCTTATTAATATGCATGTTTTAATTTCTGCACCGAATATATAAGAGTAGTACCCGCCAATTCTCGACCCCCACGCTTTTTGCCTTTACGGTAGAAGTCTGTACATGTATTTGAAACATAGAAGTATTCTGTAAAGTATTACTTGGACTTAATTTAACTGGATTCCTGGTAAGCTTTCTGTTTACCTTTATTATAATTATTATATAAATGTATTTTATAATTTACTTTTATTAATTAATCCCGACAGCGAACAATCATATAATTTATGTGTTGTTAATGTCTGATGTTAAATGTAAAGTATTCGTTTTGTGTGTGTATTGTGTTGTGAGAGTGTGTTTAATTTATACTTTGTAGGTTTTTTGTTATAAGCACAGTGAATAAATATAGTTGTGCCGAATCCAGTGTTGGATTTTTATCCTACAAAAGACCCGGTGACATGTAAAAAATAAATTAATGAGGAAAAAACAATCGGACAGAACTTGCACGAATGGCAAGCTACTATAGCGATATCAAACAATCGTCGTAAACACACATATATTTACTATCAATGAAGAACTCGGACGACGCAGGAAATACAAGTTATTTAACGTAATAACTTATAAAATTGATAACTGTGAAACATTTAATTTTACTGTTCATTTCAGGCGATCACACGATGGTCTGATCCGACTTTTCGGGTCACTTCATTGTGGTTTTCTTTATTCCATACCACTACTCTTACCATTGAGAATAAATAGATTTATATAGGGCTGATCAGAAGTCAAAACTTGTCATACTTACGACGTATTTGATGTTTGTACTGTTTCATGCATAGTATTTCATTTATGGTAGAAATTCTGTCACAGATTTATCAAGCACTTTAATCGTTTGAATAACAAATTTCCATATTTAGTTAACTATGTTTTCAATAAAAAATTGACAGAGCTAGATGACTGAATATAACGTTTCTTTTTAGACGAGACTTGTTTGAGTTTTCCATGACTATTCCTATTGGTTTTATTGGTTATGAAATGTGAAGATAACGAATAGTAATCAGGCTCAAAATCCAATTAAACAATATAAATTGTGAGCAAAGCAAGCACGGCTCTGAAAACCGAGCTGGGATCGGTTCGAATTCTATGAAGGAGTGAGCATCGATTGTCGACCGGTCCCACCCGCCTTTTGCCTCTTTTCATGATGGGGTAACCGAAAAAAAATCCCTAAACAATTCAGGGTGAAAATAATTGCTCAAGAATTTGTATGAATACGTCAGTCAAAATTCGACATAATAATAGATTGTATTTGTAAACAAGATCATAGCATTGGCCATAGATTTTATGTAATTTTTACTTTAAACGAGACTGTTAAAATCATCAACTTATTTTAAATATCCTACCCCGTTTTAGAAATTGTTAGTACGTAAAACCTATTCTGGAATCAACTGGGAGACATAAAACCCATATGCAGGTGAAAATACTATCATATTGCTACATAAATAAGGGAAGTTAACAATAGAAAAATTAAATTCATCACCTTTATCGTAAATTTTTCGGTGCATTTTTCAGTGTTTCCTGGGAACAATGGTATTGGGATCACATGGAGGAAAGATTATTCCACTCAGCGAGGCTGAGCAGTTTGGTAGATATGCAATCAATATGGTGGGTACATGTACATGCTTACAATAAGTCGCTTAAGAATTCATGGATTCGTATAAACTTTGGTATTTTTTTTAGGAGCATTTGATACATATTCATAAAGTACTTCTTGATCTTATGCTACTGACTGCTTACAAAAATATCTCTTTTCAGGATTTGGCATCAAAAGTTTTAAATAGAATTCCCGAAGAAGATCAGTTTTCAAGGGAAAATATTAAATCTGAAATTCGTCGAATCAAAAAAGTTTCTGAAAAAGATTTGGTATGTTTTAATTAAAAAAATATCTTTTGGATCAATACAAAACGTAAATGTAAATATTTAAAACAGAAAATATGATAACTTCTTCAAAGAATAATTTAATTTTTTTTTTGATAAATTAATCATAACTTTATGAAAATAAATATTTTGGTATGTTTAAATAAGGATGACGTCTGTGAAGTTATTGAGAACAGAGATGCATACGGATCAGGTGTGAAAATAATAGAAGAGAGAGAAATTGAAGACGAAAAGGAATATGAAGAAAGAGATGCAAACATGCCATGTGTAGGTACTCGTGTACGACGAGGTCCTGATTGGAAATGGAAGAACCAAGACGGACACGGAATAGGAACTGTTGTAGGACACTCACAGAGAGGTATTAAAGAAACTCGTATATAACAGTTGGATAGACAACACTTCAATGTGATGGTTTTCACATTTTAAAAAAATCATATTAAATAATTGAATGAAAGTAAGATTAATAAAAAAGAAGACACGAGATTGAATATTGTTCTTTTTTTTATCTCTGTGTCATCTTCCTAATTTTTTTTTTCTTGTCCTAGGCAATATGTTATTCCTCAAAAATTTGCTTAATTTTGTTTAGATATTTTAAACTTGTTGACACACAAACGATGATCTAGACAGCGAGGCAGACGAAGAAAGGGAAGACAAAATCTTTTTCTATCTTACATAACGATAGAAAATCAAAGAAAAAAATCTTTCAAAAACTTAATAATATTAATATGCAAACACTAAAAGTTGTATAGATTCAAGTTTTCAATGTATACCCTCGATTAAGATGCGTGGATCAATTTTTTTTTACATAATCCATGCACGCAGAAAGAAAATTATCTTTGAAAACTCTTCTTCTTCAAAATTAGCTTCAGGCCGGGACTACAATATGGGCGAAAAAAATTATGGGAATTATTTATGCGAAAATATTTTTAAAAATCTTCCGAAGAACAGCAAGACCAAGATGACTTGGGTGATTTAGCCATGTATGAACATAATAATATTAATAAATCCTACTTTCTTGCAGTGGGGTGGATAAATGTAGAATGGGACACTGGTCTTCAGCTGCCCTATAGATATGGTAACAATGGTCTAGAGACGGCATATGACATTGAACCTTGTCACGAACCTAGAATACTTCAGGACCACCCTATCGCCGTTGGATGTATTGTCAGAAGAGGTATAATTGGAGACACTCGTCAATTTTTGAATGGATTTAGGGTTGCATCCCATTGTAAAACTTATCAAAATAATCTAGTCTTTTTGTACAACGCATATAAACTTATCAAATTTGATTTATTAGTAGAAAGTTACAATTGTATTCAAATACTTACTGTAAAAGGTACATTTAATAGTATTTGAAACATATTTTGCGTAAGGTCTGGACTGGAAATGGGATGATCAAGATGGAGGAAAAGGGAATGTTGGAACAGTGTACCGCTTAAAAACACCCACAGAAATATATGTAAGTTAAGGCATATAAATATGTTCGTCTTTCTATTAAATCATAGACTTAAAGTGGACTTATAGTTTACGAATGACTTAACTTTGAAGATTCGAACTACTAAACGGTATTCACAAAGCAATTATGTTTATAAATATAGACGTAACTCTATGGTCTACGATTACACGCATGCTCAATGATTAGTTTTGATTTGACCAGAGGCAATGTCTTATGATCTTTGAATCAAATTTAGATAGAAATAGATGTAGATGGTAGGTACGAGTGTTATGTCTAATCGATACGAGAGTTTATCAATTTTGCATTATCTGTACAAAGTTTAGAATGATTTTACAAAAATGAGTTTCACATATAAAAAGCTGTTGATTGGTAAATGACAGAAGGCAAGGACAGATGTAGGTTATGAAAAATTATTATGTGGAAAATATGAGTATTTACAAAGTTTTTGAATGTTTAATATATTAAAACTCTAACACTGCTTCGTACTTAAAAAAGAAGACAAACACAGTGCTTGCATCTCTGACACTAAAAGATAATGATATCGTGACGGAAAAATAACATGGAGCATATTGCACAATGGAAGTTAATAGATTGAATTCTTTATTTATGAATCAAAAAATTCAAAAAAATTTCATTTATTCAGCGGTAGCTCAGTCTCTAGAGCTTGCTCTGTGATCGGAAGGCCGTGACTGACCTAAGTCGATAAAAAATACGTAATAACTATTCCTTCGCCAAGAGCTCGGCCGTTTTGAGTGAAAGTTGCTTGTCACGGTAGGTGTTTGCACGATAAAGAACACAGTGCTCAGTGGTCCTGATTGCCGAGTAAAGGTCTAAATTTGAAGCCCTTCACCGGTATATGCATATGGTGACGTCTCTATATGAATGAAAAATTCTCGAACGGGACGTAAAACAACACACAATCAATCAATCATTTATTCAAATTAAGATTGGTTACTTTCACACAACAGCTTTATATCATAGCGACTCCATTGCTTTTCATTTTTTTTGTGTGTGTCTATCAATATTTCAGATCCTTCTCAATTTTAGTTTAAAACCTTAACGTAAGTAATGAACACTGTTTTACTCGTAAACGAAGGTGACATCCACGTCTATGTCTAATTATAAGCATCAAGCTTCAATAATTCTCTGATGTGGAAATTATTATTTCAGGTCAGATGGCCCAATGGAAACAAGAGTAATTATAGATATGGTTATAAAAACAAATTTGATGTGGAGTTATGGTTAGTTAAGTATATTATTATTCCTCTGATGGTTTAAATTCATTTTGTGAAAAAAATATCTATTTATATTATATTTTTCTACGATGCATTCTAAATTGTCTCCTTTTAATTTCGTATGTTTTATATAGTGACCCATTCGATCCAAACATAAAAGAAATATTGAGAAAACGCTCACACGAGGCAAAAACAACTGGACCATTTGCCAGCAGAGAAACATCATCAAGTAAATTTTTGTTGTTTTTTTAATTAACGTATATTAATAGATTACTTATATTGATAATTTTTACGTTGTTCAATGTGAACTTTGACATGTGGTGATAAAACAATAGTTAAAATGATAATACGAATCAACAATCTGAAATGTGAAAAAGTTTTTCTATTAGAAAATTACGTAGTATCGTCTCTTATAGTTAACATAACGAGCTAAAGCAACGAACCATCAAATTTGGCCCTGTGTTTTTTACAAAAATAAAGTTTCGATTCAACAAGAGTACTATACATTAAATGTTAGAGGACACATTATTTGTTTTCCATACGTAACTTATTTTGTTGAATAATGCGCCATTAGGCACGTGCGGCGGTTGGAACATGCGACGGTGTGACAAAAACGTTGAAAAACGCCGATTTTTCGATAGATTTTTCCAATGTTAGATGTGGCCACCGTTAAGAACAACTTTTATACTTACCATAGATATAAATATTGCCAATACAAATCTATATGCTTATTACCCTTGTTGTTCGTGGGTGTGGCCAGATTGAAATTTGATTTTATATTTAAATTTTGATGCATCAAATAATCAGTAACTTGTGAATCAATCGTTAACATTTTATTCATATAACAATAAAAAATTATTAATTTCACAAAACATTCTAGAAACTAAATTAATTGTTCATTTAAAACGCTTATTGTGGGGGGAAAAAAACCCCTCAAGAATAAACATTTTCTGAAATAAATATCTGTCAAAACATACTGTATGTGTACTTAAAAAAGCGGGCTTAATAATTTAGCGACTTCGGCGCGGACAACAATGCGCTAATTTATGAATACCGTTAATATATCATTCATAAATACAATATATCGCGCGGACGCATGTAGCGCTAATTCATGATTTCGCCAGCCACTCAATACCCAGTGATTACGCTTAATTTTTAATACGTCAATTTATGTACACATACAGTAGTTTTTATTGTGAATAGGTCCATTATATATGACGTTACTAATAATACGTCAGTTGTGACGTCATAAAGGCTCTTAACTATTTGGAATGCTGCTGAAAAGTTTTTTTTTTGCTTTGGAATGCTGTCATATGATTTAAACCCAACTGGATGATACCATTAAATTATTAATTATTAGAAATTCACGCCAAATTGTTTTCTTTACCTCCCTAATCACCCCCCCCCCGCCCGCTTTTTTAAAGCTGTTATTAGACCTACCATTTTATATTTATTTATATATTTATTTTTATTTATTTATTTTTGATACTCTTGAGACAATTTTAACACTGTTGTGCGTGTTAACAGACATGACTCAAATTGTAAACAAATTAATAGAGAATGTAGCAAAGAATATCACACTAGACCTTTGTAAAACAAACGAAATAATAAAAACATAGCTTGTTGTCAAAAGTGAAAATTAAAAAAAAATATAAAAAAAAAACCGCATTTGGATAATCACATTCATTTCCGCTAAACAGAATCTAGGTCACGGGAGCGGGTTCATCAAATGCAAGTGTTTTGACGAAATTCGAAATCGGTACACACATACACGTATACTATAGCTATATATTCTTTTGTACCAGCATATATAAGCCATCGATATAATAACTGTATTTAAAATATCCTCTGAGATGATTGTTATGCATGGACACAAAAGGGTGAATTTCCATCCTGCTTCAAAGGCATATCTATTTTTCAATATGTCTGCATTTAATAAATTCGAAGTGAGGATATTTAATAAATTCGAAGTGAGGATATTGATGATGCATGTATACATATTGATAACTGATTTTGTCATAATTCGTGAAACATAATTCAATTACACCCCAGTGAACAAAAATGCATAAAAATATCAGAGTATGTCCTAGAAATCCAGTATAAAATGTTCATGCATCTTTATACTGTGCTCCAAATATTTCATTGTTACTATCACAATTTAAGTAATTTATGCTTCGGATCGTCAGTTAGTGGAATGGGTGGTGGTTTTTAATCTATTTAGACATGTATATATATATATATATATATATATATATATATATATATATATATATATATATATATATATATATATATATATATATATGAATTACTTTTTTTTTTGAAATGTATTACTCCAAAGAAAACATTTAGGGCGACAATGTTTTGATGAGTTCTGTTTACTAAATCAACCTTTCTGATAACTTACGACACCCCTTTTCAATTAATCCATAATTTTCTATGTTTCTGTTTCGAAAACGACGTTCAAATTATTGTAACAAATGAATTAATGGATTAGAAACAAATCCTTCAAAAAAATCGCTCAAAGTAATATTTCCGCGCTACGACGTTACGTTTCAAAAAATGACGTTCTACTAGCATTTTTCTATTAAAACACCGTCATACTGCAAACTCTCTTTTTCATAAAATATAATTGATTTCGAAAAAAGATAAACGGCAAAGAAAAGCTAAAAGTCTACACTATCAAATGACAAAACCCCGTTCCTTTTTGAGACAGGGCAATTTTTGATGGTTCGTGGCTCTTGTTATTTATCGCCTTATTAATAATTATACTTTGGAAACGTAAACACAGCACAGTACGGAAAAGAATTCATAAAATTCACATTATTTACTGTAGATTATGTTGAATCGAGAGGTGTATGTGTGTCTGTCACTTACAGTGACTCTAACTCCCATGGGACTTTTTCACACATCGTAGAATCAATTCCCATTACCAGTGGGGGCAAAACGAGTAATCCCTCATTAGTGAATAAAAAGAAGAGGCGGTATTTTAAGAATTCTAGTGCCGTCCCTACGGGTAGGAGGTGGCAATGGAAAGGTCAAAACGAAACGTGGAATGATTTTCCAAAAGAAGCGAATGAAATCATCGACAAGAATTTTAAGAGTGCCGTTGGAACAAGTGTTGTCATTCATCTTAATGGTCAATTGTAAGTTTTGGGGATTCGTTCCTTGCTTTTTTTTTAAATGAATAAACATTACATATAAACCATCTTGATTATGTCAAAACATAAATTATCTCATTACTAATCAGTTTTGGGGAATCGGAGAGTCTTCGGATACTGAAGAATTCTTATCATAAAGTGAACCTAGCTTTTTGCATATGAACTAAAAAACTTGAGATGACATTTCGTTGGTTAATTTTACGTTTCACATTGTATATCTTTGTCGAATGCAGAATAAGATTACAAATAACATTATGAGACTTTTGAAAGCAAACAACATTTTTTAAACACGCAATCATTCAAGAATTTGATTGAACACCATGAATGAAATGCAGATTGAGAAAAAAAAATCAATCGAATTTCATTTGAATTCATAGTTTGCAAAACAGTTTACAATAAAACAAATGGTGCTGAAAAATATAAAATATAAAAATATAAAGATATTGCTTTTAACATTCCATTTTCATATTACAGATGCCGAATTCATCTTCAAAAGAAAAGAATGGTGAATACAATAACACGAGAAGCTACTGATATCAGAGTTCGTGAAAATCCTTAGTTTAATGTTTAGGTAAAAGGAATATATACATTTAACAGTCATTGTTGATTGACAAACACAGCTGGGCTTTACAAATGTCTTTCATAAACGTTGGACAATTTCTGTTTTTTTCTGCCTACTAGGAATTTTCAAAATGTCTTTTATTTCTAAATTTACTTGTCTATTGTTTTTCCCGATAACAATTGAAATTGACTGCGCAGTACAGTTAAGGTGACAAATGGAAATATCGGCGATTTTTTTTATATAGAAAATACATTCTTTACAAGGATGGGCGATTCTTTTTAGGACTTTACTATTATCAGACAAATGTAATGTGGTTGAAAACTACATGTTGGGGACGATTAGATTTCTTACCTAGACTCGTGACGTAATGTGGCAGCCACGTGATTTTAGCAAATATACCTGCAGTATTGAGGTCATCTGTAAATTCCAATATTGCAAGGGCATAACCACGTTGAAAATCTAAGTTTAATTTATAATTATTTTCAACACTCTTTGTAGTTTGTGAAAAGTGCTGCGAACCTATATAGATTCTACTATATGACTGCTAAAATTACGTTTGTTAGACCGTATGCTGAATATTTTGCTGGGCAAGTACATTAATTATAGATATAATTAATTCATTTGCAAGATTTCATCAGGTTCGTGGCACTTTTCAAATATCTTCATACCTCTTGAGTTTATGTGTAAAAGCTTGTCATAATTCATTAAGGGTATGCCCTTGCAATATATCGATTTATTACGACCCTTCTATTACCCTTCAATGAATCTGCATACAAATATACGGCAGTATCGCTTGTCTAGGAAATGTACGGGGAGTATATGATTAAAATCATAAAATATACATTGCATCCAAGTTAATGGCCTCTCATATATCTGCAAATATATTTTATTTACTTACAAAATACATTTTTCATTGTATAAAATATAACTTGATCCGCCTCTTTCTGCATACAAACTGAGTCAAATTTTGCGATATGACGTCACATTGACAAGTGCATTGCGATCAGTGAATTGTTTATATATTGCTCTGTGGGATTAAACCAACGACAAAAATACATGCAATAGTAAGTATTAATGTAGTTTAAAGATATCCAACAGTTTAAAATAGCAAATCATTTCATTTTCTGGTAATTTGAAGAACATATACATTTGTGTGATGTCATAGTAAGCATTTCCCGTAAAAATTAGGCCCCGCCTCCTTACTGCAGCCTTAACTGTGCTGCGTGCTAAAAGGGACTATATTTAAAAGGTTTAAATTTGGTGGGGTTTTATTCTTATTGTTT